AGGTTATTAGTGTATGAGCCAGTACGTCATCGATCAGTCAAGGTCTACGCTCGCGTCAAGACTGGGCACAGGTCCAGGGACAGGGCGTGACAACTTTGGCTGACTTGATCTGATTGGGCAGGAATACAGTCTCAACCCACGGGTGGATCCTCCATCTCCGTGCTGAGAAAAGGCGTTCAGGTAAGACAACGCCCCTTTACCTTTACTCATATTTACAACCTGCATTACCTTCTAATCATGTTTTGGGTGTTATTTAAAAGATACTTTATTATCTGATTGTAAAAAGGGTTGTACAGGAACTAACATCTCATGTTTAATCCCAAGCCACTAAGATGTACTTTTTCATTCAAAAGAAAGGTGTTCAACTCCTCCTGGCAGTTTCTCTGTCAAAAGATATCCATCTCCATTCACAAAAGCATTTTTAACTGAAAAACAGCTGGAGGGAAAGGGTTAAGATATTCCCCCAAAGGAGTCAACTACTATAAACGGAATCCTCTGCAGCGGCATTTGGTGAGAAAGGAAGGAGTCAGAATAAAACATTGGGCACAATACAAATAAATTACATTTCCCTCAGTTAGGACAAGGCATTTACAGATTGTTTTTTTCTAAATGAATTAATATCCAGTAGTAATTGAAATGGGAGGTTTATGAAAACTTGCAGCAAATCCAACAGAAAAACAAAACAAAAATTACATTGGTTTTATTATGAACTAGCTGTACCCGGCCACACTTTGCTGTGGCTCAGTCTGGTTGAATGGAAAAGAAAGAAAAGAGAAAGCGCACGTTTGTAATATGTTTAATTTTACGTCCAACAGATGGCGCTGTTTTTCAAAGAAAGTATGTTTTTACCTGTCACAGGTGTGACATCTATATAATAGTAGGTATATAAAAACACGCACGTATTCGAGTGCAACGTTGTGTCAAAATTTCAAAGCAATTGGTGAAGAACCTTCGGAGATTTAAGATTTTGAACAAACGAACATTTACATTTTTATTTATATAGATATACAACTGTTTGTATAGCTTCTCTATATGTGCAAAACATTTCATATTAAATTAACATAGTAACTCAGGGTTCTATATTTAAATGTATTTCTCACACCATTTGATTTTTACTGACAAGAACAATAAAATGTAGTGGTCCAACAAGTGCCTTTCTGAGTTAGATTACAGCTTCAGTTTGGATATATGATACCATATACAACATAATAATTAGGAAACCATTTTAAAGATTATGATGATGATGAATATTATTATTATATGTTAATACTTCTATAAAACCAAATGGCTCAGGTTTACTGCTCTCCAATAGTCTTAAAAACAGCAAAAAGCTGACATGATGAATTGGAGAAAAAGTTGTTACTTGATCTTCAAACCTATATCTAATCATTCATAAGTTATTAACATTTCAGTTTGAAAATGTGACTGAAGAAAACTTAGTTTCTTGCTTCTTCATCTAATTATAGCTCTGTAAGGTATAAACAAACTAAGCTTAAGTTTAGTTTAAACCCATTTANGTGCCTCTCAGAGAAGGGTGAGGCTTCCATCTCAGACCTCGCTTTCCCTCAAATGGTGGCTGTCCCGAGCCGTCCTCAAAGGGTCGTTGTTCAAGGAGCCGGAGCGGTTCCTCCTTACGACCGATGCCAGCCTCTTTGGTTGGGGGGCGCATCTTCGTTCCCACTGGGCACAGGGCCGTTGGTCTCATTCAGACCTCCGGCACGACATCAACTGGTTGGAACTGAGGGCCGTATATCTAGCTCTCCTTCACTTCCACAGCCAGGTCCGGAGGCGTCATGTACTTGTCCTCACGGACAACATGACTGCCAAGGCTCATGTAAACAGGCAGGGGGGCACTCATTCTCGAATCCTTCTGAACGAGGCATTAATATTGGGGACCTAGGCAGAGCACAATCTCGTGTCCATCAAGGCCGAGCACATCTCGGGGAAGGACAATACCCAGGCAGATGTCTTAAGCAGAGCGACAATAGACCACTCAGAGTGGAGGATTCACCCGAGGGTCTTCAAAGAGATTTGCCACCGCTTTGGGCTACCTTTAGTGGACCTATTTGCCTCACCGGCCAACACCCGGCTTCCCCGCTTCTTCTCCCGCTTCCCGTCTCAGGGAGCGGAGCAGATAGATGCACTGTGCTCTCCATGGCCTCGGGATCTGCTGTATGCTTTTCCACCTCTCCCTCTTCTCCCGGCGGTGGTACGCAAACTACTCCGGGAAGACGCGGAGATTCTACTGGTAGCCCCGTATTGGCCACGGAGACCGTGGTTTGCCGACCTGCTGGGTCTCTCCACAACAGATCCGTGGAGGATCCCGCCAGACAGGATATCACTCAGTCAGGGAGCCATCCTTCACCGGATCCCCTGTGGCTGCAGCTAGCCGTCTGGCACTTGAGCGCAACTTTTTTGTCGAGGAAATCTTGCTCTTTAAGAGTCATTGAGGTTATACAGGCATCCCGTCGCCCATCCACGAATCGCATCTATGAGGCAACGTGGAAAAACTTTTGTGCTTGGTGCGACAAACGTAAGTTGGCTCTCTCACGACTCAATATTCCTATTATTTTGGAATATCTGTCGGACGGCTTGGACAAAGGTTTGGCCCCTAATACCTTACG